CTCACTGAAACAGGGATTGGTGATACAGACAGAAGCGCCTGAGCCGAGCGTCCGGCTCCAACGCCGGCCCACACTCCCTCAAGCCTCTGCGTGTTTATGAGGACGGAGGGTCATGAGTGTGCGCCTCTTCGACTGACTCACATCCCTCATGCGAACGCTTGAAAGTGCGGCTGGCTCAAGGCGTGAGAGATACCGTCGCCGATCCTTCACCTCAGACGCAACCCTGACCTTCGTAGGGAAGAAAAGCGGAGGAATAAGCGGATGTTTTCACGTTTATTCTCTGTAGTCATTGTTTGCTGTCTCTTTCATCCTATGCCTGGTTGGAGCGCGGACGGTGACGGGGAGTGCTTTCTAGTGGAAGATGGCTGTGAGGGAGTAACGTCCACAGAGGGGAGGGAGTTGGGAGTCAGCGGAGGTTATTCTGCTCTCATGAGTCTGTTAGTGAGCGTACACCCATGCAGCTGCGCCAATTAGTCCTGCCATGCTTGAACCCCCACTCATTCACCACACACACACACACACACACACACACATCTCCTTCTAAGCTACTAAACTAACGACACACAACCTGAGACGTGTGTATTACCGTCTTGCCTGTTCGCTTTCCCTGAACGTTGATGAGTCTGAGCGTGCTTACATCTTCACTGTGTGTGTGTGAGTGTGTGTGTGTGAGTGTGTGTTTGACAGTCTGCAGTGATGTCAGGCCCGGGAAGGAGCGAGGCGAGTTGAGGCGAGGCACAGCTCCCTCCCTACGATAGTGCTGTCACATCGGATCAGTCAGGCGGGCGGGCGGGCGGCCGCGGCAATGACACTGCACTTCTGCTCCGGGAGACGGGATTCAGGGAGGACAAGGAGGAGCTTTGTTTTGACTTCACATGTAGCTGGATGCCATTAGCTTGCAGTTTCTTAGGTCTGAACATGCCCACAATATGTCCAATGTAACGGCAAGGTTTCAGTATTTTATTCAAATTAAGCATGTTCATCTTTGACTGAACAATTTTTAAATAGAAAGTTGGATAATTAAAGAGTATTTAACAAAGTATTTAATGAACTGTTATGAAATCCTAATAGAGAGGCACCGATAATGGTTTTAACTAACCAATACTGATTTTAGGTCAGATTAGTGGATTAAAATTCGGACAAATCTCATATATTATACTAAAACCTGTAACACAAACACCTGAGTACAAACACAAAAGCTTACCAAGGATTTTTAGTCTTGTTTCTAGTGCAAATATCTTAGTACAATTTGAAAAAGACAAAAATAACTTTCTATGTAGAAAGTTATTTCCACTGACAGATTATTTCAATCTGGAAAGACTCAGACGAAGAAAAAGGAACAATTAAAAGATTTAATGACAGCAATGAATAACAGTTCTTTGGCGCTCGGGCCCTGGCAGCTGATCTGAGCTGAGATTTGATGTGAATTCGATGAACATCCCGATAACCGATTAGGGATGCTCTCCCCCGGGGCCCGACACTGGTGGTGGAGGTCTGGAAAGGGTGCCATCCTGCAGAGCCGAAGGATGTGGGTGGAGAAGGGGAGGTGGTGGGTTGAAGGCAGCTGGGAAGCAGCCGACGACTTGGGTGTGGATCCTTTTATGCTGAGCTTGATTGATGATTGGACACGCCAGGTGAGGTCCAGCGCTGAGGACTGAGATGAGCATGACGCCGATGGACGAACGGAGGGGATGGAGTCTTCCAGGTTGAATTTTCGCTATTAGCTTCATTTCACTTTGGAAAAATGTCTTGTTCCTGCTAGTGGAACATTACTTTTTAAAATCAATATTAAACGAATTATTTACTTTTCAAAAGCTTCCATATCCTACTGAAAAATTACTTCTAAGTTAGTTTGGTCTTATTTAAGGTGTGTAAAGATATCTGCACTTGAAACTAAAAATACTTGGTGAAACTTCTGAATTTTTGCCGTGAATGCATTCATCTCTGCAGATTTAGCTATAAAATAGCATTTTAGTTCGACCAACATGTCTCTTCTGACCTGAGGTAATATTTTTGCTTTGGAGTGGCTCAGCTAAAGTCTACAAAGATTAGGGTGATGGCAAAGAGGCCATCCAACTTCAAGAACCAAGAATCTTGTCAGCAAATATAGCTAAAAAAGTCTGTTTCAGAATTATTTAAATCTAACTTCAAAGTGGAAAAACTTTGCATTATAACTCTTTCATGTCATTGTGGAGGAATTTTTTTCTCGCTCTTTATACAAAATTGCTTCACTGCTTGCATGACCCAACTTGGGCCGTGCTTTAGCTGTCACAGAGATGATCCATATTTTATTTATTTTCCCTTTGGGATTGATAAAGTATTTTGAGCTGAGCTGAATCTCACTTTTGACTCTGAAATACTTCAGAGGAGTTCATTATCATCTCAAATCTGGAACATTCGAAGCTCCTCAGGCTACAAAACAAACTCAATTCATCGCCCCTCTTTCTCTGCACTTGGCACTTGGATATAGTTTTTTTTCTTGTTTTAGAGGAAAGAGGCTTTTGTCTTGACCCAAACACAAACTGTTATATAGTTTTGTTTTGTTTTGTTTTTATAATTGAACTGTCAGTCACATTGGTATTTATCATGCTAATTCATACCTATAGCATCTGAGATTAATCTCTTTGGGGTTAATTTGCACTTTCTAACTCTTTATTGGCTATCGTTTCACATGTTTTCCACTTGTAAATATTCTTAAGGGATCTCAAATTACTAAAACATTACACCAGATACGTAGAGGGTAGCAACTACTCCTTTAAGGTCATTGCTAATATTTTTTCACTGTAAACTATCACACTAACTTCAGAAATATCTTTAAGCACCAAATAAGGGGGTTAATACGCCATCTTGTCTTTTCCCAGAAACAGAAAACAAAGATTGAAGAAAAAATGTCTTCTGTTGTGTTTATAAACAAATACGAATTGAACTTTAGACATCTTTCCAACTTGAATGCACGCAGACCAACATGATGTCGGACTCTTCCTAGAATGACTATACCTTTGGTCTTGTATTTGATTGTTTTGCTTCACTTACATCAGCAAAATTAAACACATTTTCTTTTAGTTGGTATTTGATTGGGACCCATCAGGGTCAGAGGGGTTAAAAGTGGAGTTATTTTTGGTTGGATTCCTTCACGGGCTTCATGAGAGCGATGACAGGCGCGTTCTGGTGTGCGTCTGTGTGTTGTGAACACAGCAGAGTGGGTGAGAACGGGCCGAGACGCCGTGTTTGTTGTGAAAACACACTTGATCGTTGCTCCGACTGTGTTTATGGGTAAGCACCTTTCACCTTTCACCTGCTCCCATTCAATGACAAACCTACAGTCACGATAACGGGAACGTCTGCAGGCGTGAAAAGGGAAAGGCAAGGATTGAGAACAGCCTCGCTCTGCTGTTAGCAGCGTTTTAACACCGCGGTGTAACCTAATTCTTCTGACATGATTGCTGTTGCTTTTGCCAGATGTAACTGAGGCAGTCTAGGTTAAGTGTGCAGCCTCAGGCAAGGGCATGAGTGAATACAGGAGGACAGTAGAGAGCTTTTTCTCTCATTGTTGAGTGTTGATGTTCTCATAAAGAGCAGCTACTGCTGCACTTTCTGCCTCCGAGTGCAAATGGTTCAGAAACTGGAATACATCCAGTTCAGAAATGTATGAAATGATGTTTAAATGTTTCATTTGGATTAAAGTAGGATTTGTTTGACGTTTTTTTCAGTCAGCGTGCTAATTAAATTTAAACTCAGGGGAGAATATCTATTTTAAACCAAATGATGAGAACCGCAATTAAGGGAGGAGGAAAACGCCTCTAACGAGATCATTATTTTAGATATAATGAAAAGGACTTTCCATACAATATGTACCAACATTTATAAATATATAGAACCCAACTGGGTCCAAATAGCAATCAAATAGTTGTATTAATTTTACTACAATCCAGTCATATAGTTACATTCAATTACAGTATAGTTATTGTTTAATTGAAGTTGGTAAAATTTATTTGGTGATTCCAATATAATTGCATTGAATCATTAACTGTGAAGTAATTCTGTAATCTGAGTGTTGTGAAGAGACAGTTTTTAATTTAGATAATTAAACACAGAAGTACTAAACCAGAAGCATTTTGTATAGTTGGTGCATGAAGGTGACGCACCAATTGTTTAGAAATAAGACACAAAAACACGGCGGAAGGAGTACTTTACAGAGGAAAGACAAATAAAAAGAAAACATCACTGGCTCTGCCCATGAGGGAGAAAAACAAAGAAGCTCTGAGTCACTTTCTATGGCAAGAAGAACAAGAAAAGCAGAGATTACGGAAAGAGAAACAAATTCTTCCACAAGAACAAATGGAAAGTTTTAACATTCCATTCGTTTTAGCATTTTGTAAACAACATTGTTCACAAAATGCCAATTCACAAACATCTTTGGAGGAAACATATCGACACCCATTTATGTCTTAAAGTTGAGGAGAAGATTGTAATGTCTGTCACGTTTCTGTGTACATAAGCAGTTACGGTTTTTTGTTGGGTATTTTTTGAGCTGCATTGTTAATTTTCGGATTCAAAATTCTCATTTTAGAACAAAAATGGCAGCAAATCCGACTTAATTCCTGGTATACAATATAATTCCTATATATCAGGAATGAGGTCGGATTTAAAATTTTACCTTATTTATACAGTAAAATTCTGGTGGTATTTTAATGTAAATTAGAGATGTGTTGTTGTTTTTTTTACAGTGTACGCTGTAATGGCTTTTGGGAGGAAAGATATCACATACTTAATGTATGTGAAAATACATTAATGTACCAATATATTTTTAGTTTTTGTTACTTAAAAGAGGTTATGAGTTTCTTTTGCTTGTTTTGTTGTCAACTATATCAGCCACCTATCGTTCTGTAGAAGAACCATTTGACTTTTGTCAGTAGATAATATAAAAGAGACGGTAATCATCATCCTCAGAGCCTTCCTTGTTCGTCCCCCTGCTCTAACCTGCTCCTCTGTCCCTGCAGGTTCGCCCAGCAGTACGTCTACCCCCAGGCGTTCCTGCAGCCCAGCCTGCTGCTGCAGTCCCACCTGAGCCCCACCGCCACGGCCCTCACCTCCCCTTACCTGGAGTACAGCTCCGCCTACAGCTCTGCCTACAGCCCCTACGGCCCGTCAGGACTGGAGCAGTACCCCTTCGTCCCCTCGCCGTCGCCCTCCACAGGCTACCTCAGCTACAGCTTCTCCCCAGGTACCCCGACGCCCGCGCTCACCGCTCCCCCCACCCCGCCAGCGGCCATCCATCCTCCCCTGGCCGCGCTCACCGCCGTGTCCGCCACGCCGCCGGCCTTCCTGCATTACCCCCTCCACCAGCCCGACCGGATGCAGTGAGCAGACCTGAGCGGCCAATCAAAACACGGGGACTGGAGACTGGACCGGGTTTATAAAAAGGGCTTTTTGAGAGAACTGTCTTTCCTCGGTGTAACAGATAATGATCATCCTGCGTTGTCGTCAGCACACACTGTGAATGTTTTCCAGAACCGGCAGGACCCTGTTGTGATCTTTTAGATGCTCCTTACGGGCTGGAGGGAACGTAAAGTAAAGACACAGAGAAATCCGTCTTTCTGCCATGTTGCTGCAGCTGCATTTTCTCCAGAGGTACTGCACTGATTTCTGGGCTTCAGCCAATCTGAGAGCCAGGTTCTCTCTGAAACACGGGGCCTGTTCCCTCTGCTTCAAGGTTACCTTTCTATCTGAGAGAACAATTTCTCTCTGCACCCAACTTATCATTTTTATTACTCTCTCCTTTCAGCGACGAACAAAAAAAAGTTTATTGTAACCCCTCTTTGTTCCTGTTATCTACTGCTATGAGGTTATAACATGAGCATCTTGACAGAATATGCAATTAGGATTACTAAGGATGAGTAAGAATAAGGTAGGCAACACTGGCATTTCATTTTTGTTGTTTTTCTATTCCTAGAGCATTACTCAGAGCACAACTCTGTCAGGATTTAAACACAACATTCATAAGATATATTTTTTTTTTTGTTTTGCTTCCTTTGTCTTCTGGACACATTTTTATGTTTCTTTCATTTTAGTGCCCTCCACAGATATTAGCAGCTTTAGTAAAAAAAAATTAAAAAAAGAACCTCAAGAGCAATTTAGTTGAAAGAAAAATCCCACATTCAGAAAAAATAATTGTGCCAGACTTACTGTGACCTTTAAATGCAATTGTAATATATATTTTTTGTATTTTAACATTGATTTTTAAGTTGATCTGTCTTTTTTAGGCATAATCTACTTCTTCTTGTGGGTTAAATATGACACAAGAAAGGAACTAACATATCTTAGCCACTCTCCAGACAGGAATAGTCAGTAAATGGCTTTAGCAATTTAAATAAGCAAAAACTAAATTATTAATATGTAAAAAGGCACCAATGTTAACCATGGTGGAGGTCTGTTTATCTCATAAAAGCCCAGGGAACTTTGGTAGAGCATGAGATCATGAGCTCTTTCAAATGTTGGGGCGTTTTATATAAGAAATCTGGTTTACGTCCCCAGAAAACTGAAAGAGCTGAAAATATTTTTGGTCTAATTTCTAGTCCAAATATATTAGTCCACTTGAAATAAGACAAAACTAATTTACAAGTAAGTTTTTACCAAAATATAGGAGCTTGTTTTAGGTCAATAATTCCTTAATATTGATGAAAAAGTACTTGTTCTTCCACTGACAGATTATTTCATGTTTAATATGGGAAAAAATGTCATAATAAGTTAAATAATCTGCTAATTGAACTGGAACTTTTTCATCAATATTAAGGTATTATTAGCTAAAACCAGCTCCCATATCTAAGTGAAAATTACTTGTAAACTACTTTAGTTTTATTTCAAGTGTGCTAAGTTATTTACACTAGAAACTAGACCAAATGTAGTTGGTAAGACTTTGTGTTTGTGCAGTCTGGTATCATTTAGTAATTAGTTACACTGTAAGAACAGAAAGTATTTTTGTCTAGTTTCTAGTGCAGATATCTTAGTACACTTCAAGTAAAACAAAACTAATTTACAAGCAACTTTTTCAGCTAGAAACAGGGACTTTTGTAAGTCAATAATTCCTTAATATTAAATTTCTAAAAAGTGCTATACAAGTGAAATAATCTGCCAGTGAAACAAGACATTTTTTCCATCTTATAAGCCAAAATGTCCACTGATAGATTATTTCACTTAGAACTAGTACTTTTTTTTAATCAATATTAAGGAATACCTGACTTAAAACAAGCTCCAGTTTCTTGCTTTTGAGTGTACTAAGGAACTAGTCAAAATAACTGGTAAGAATATTGGTTTGCCAATATATGTGGAGGGCATTGACACGTGTGTTTGAATGTTGGTGGCCTGTATGTGTGAATGGGACTCAGAGCGCTGCAGCTTGCTGCACAGCTCTCATCCAGCCTCTCGTACCATTGTCCAGTTTTTTTTTTTTCTTTTTGTTACGTTATATAGACAGGTTCTTTAGCTAAGATAATGGAGTCTTCTGGTGTGGAACCAATGTTAGTGGTCTAAACCAAGCCATATGTCAGATTTTAAACAAATATGCAAAATAAAAATGAATGTTTGAAGTGGGTGGCTCTTGGTTTCTTAATTCTCTGGTAACTATGCCTGGTAATAAACCACTCATTGATTCAGGTGTGTTAGAGCAAGGATGCATCCAAACCCTTCTAGACAGCGGGAGAGACGTAATATGACGCTAAATTAGTTTCACCTCTGAATTTTAGCATGAATTTCAGAGCATGTGTGTTCTTAGTTAGCCTGTTTGCTTTGTCTTACAAGAACCCACAATTTTATAAAGCAAATGTTAATTTACAGATTTACAGCTCTGGAAAAAATAAGAGCGCAAAGCACTGAACCCAATTGAAAACCTTGTGGTTTATTGATTTCTGAACTCTTCCTGAGTTAAAACGTTAGTATTGTTGTTTCTAAATCTATATGAACTTGGTTTCTTTTCATTATTTGAGGTCTGACAGCACTGCATCTTTTTTTTTTATTTTTACTGTTTCTCATTTTCTGCAAATAAATACTAAAATTTTGCTTGGGATTTTAGAGACATGTTGTCAGTAGTTCATAGAATAACAGAACAAAGTTAATTCATCTGGAAATATAAAAGCCATTATATTAGCATATTTTTGCCTCATTCTATTTTGAAACTAAATTTTGAGGAACTTTACAGCCTCTCTTTTGGTTTTTGGGGAGTTATAAAAATGTTCTTTCATTTTCTAAATTGGTCTGTCTGGCTGTTACTTGCCTGAGAAATTATTTATCAAGACAACTGACAAACAATATATTTAAAAGAAACAAAAGATTTGTCAATGTTTGAAATCAAACTCAAAATACGGTTTAATTTACGAGCCTGACGCCCTTTTCCAGCTGCAGATTTATTCTCATCTTGGGCTCCTGGGACCTGGATTATGTGGCATTTACCCAAAATCACAGCTGCTTTCATTGTTAAAAAAAGCCTTCCCTCTTTTCCCTCTTTCTTAACATTAATTTAATATTTTCCAAAATAGTGTACCATAAACACCACTATTCGTATTTATTCTGTTTGAGGTCACTGAGCGCTTCTATTTCCTGTTTAAGGCTTTTCGTGTGTTGTTTGTGCCCTCTACTGGTCACGGTCATATATTGCAACTTAAACTCTCCCAAACATCCATTATGTTATCATTTTGGTTTGCGCACAACTTAAAGTGAAAAACCAACGCAAAGTGGCGAATAACTGTGCAGCAAAAGGGAAAAGAAACATGGCCTATGTTCAGTTCCACTGATTGAATTAGTCAGCATAATTTTGGCTTTTGTCTGAGCCGAGTTTTGAGTCTCTCTGACATAAAATCCTCCCAAAATACATTGAAGTTTTATTTTCACGCTGTTTTGAAATGTACTTCAAATGCTTAAAAGTTGCAGGTTTAAAAAAAGGGAAAAAATGAGCCAAGATTTGTGTAAAGTTTTGATTTTTTATGTTTGTTTGTTTTTTTTTTTTTTATTGAAACACCGTGTGCTCCCAGATAACTAAAAGAAGACCAAATGCCTGGGATACAACATCTGTTGTGGATTATGCTGGTTCAGAACAAAAAAAGCAGATGATTTATGTAAAAATTAATAAAATAGCAAATAACTGTGAGACAGCAAACAGGGTGGGGGTGGAGAAATGATCATGGCATGACAAACTGAACACAGGTAATGGTACGAAACAGATGAGCGGTTATGAAAATAAAAATAAGAACAACTGGATCTGCAAAATTGAACACACAAGTAAGCACATATACACACACTCACCTCCAAACACACACACACACACACACACACACACACACGCACACACACACACACACACACTCTCGCTCTCAATCTCTTTCACACTCTTTCTCTCTAAAACACACACCTACAGATAAAATGTGGTGATTGAAATAATTGAAACCCTGTTAAAATCAAAAGGTTGTTTTTTTTACATCCACATCTTGTGTCTGAAGTGCAGGAAACAAATAAAAAAAAGAGAGATAAGCTCAGATGAATACTGAAAAGCAAGCCCATCTTCACTGGTCTAACCCAACCTAAAAATGACAGCGTTCCTGTCTCTGTCATATCCAAACCCCGTTCCCGCTTTACTCCCATCTCTATCATTCCCTCTCACCTTCAGCCTGCTCCCGTCTCCCACTTTCTATCACTCTTCTCCACTACGAGACAGCGAATAGTTCAGGCTTTGAAAAGCACAATGTCCTGCTGGAAGTACAGAAAGAGGACTATTTGGAGGAGAGGGGGGCAGAGGAGTCTCGTTGTGTGCTGAGGTTGAAGGTGGCGAACCAACATTTTAGGAATATCTGAGAACATTTTGGGTTAGTCTTGTACAGAGGAGCGTGTGAAGGCATGAGGTCGAGGGGGAACAGTTGGGGGTCAGCGTAGCTCAGGGATTTGTCCCTCGTCCCCAGACTCCCAAAATCGGAGAAACGGGGACTGGGTCAGCTTATAAGGATTGCGTTTTGAGCTCGATGGGTTCCCCTCGAGTGTCCTGCTGAGTCTCGCTCTGGGGGGGTCGACTTCCCTTCAGTGTGGCCAGCCGCTCTGAGAGACCTCTCATACGGGGGAACAGGATGAAATCGTAAAAGATGGCACCCATGGCACCCCCGATCATAGGCCCAACCCAGTACACCTGCAGGAAATGACATATAAGTCGTCAACGGTTGACAATGCCATTCGTAGCTGTGCAGACACTTGTACGGCTGTCTGTTATTAAATTTTAAGGTGATTTTCTAATAAATTTTATGTAATCTTATTTTTGGATGACGGTGGACATATGTATCTGTTTAGTTTGTTATTTTATTATTAGAGAAAGTTTCAAGCTAGCTAGCTAACCAGATAGCTAGCTTTCTACTTAACAAGGTAGCTAGCTAGAAATATATCTATTTAGATAGATATGGTAGATATGGATTTTTTTTCACCATATTTTATAGTATTGTGGTAAGGACAAAAGTCATGATAATAACTATTTATTACTTTTTTTAGGTAACCGTGTGGCTGATACAGCAATTCTAGTTCCAGAAAAACAAAAACTACTGTTGAAAAAACATACCCATGTGCGATATGCTTCTTTAGGATACTAGTTACATAAAGTAGTGGGATTTTAATCACTAATCTGCACACAATAATTGCATTTAATCATATTTTCTTTCTTTTTTTTGATAATTATTAATGCTCTCAATAAACAAACATTGGAAAAAATAGTGAAGCTAACAGTAATACATAGAGTTTTGGTTAAACATAATTAATCAGAATTTAGCATGACATCGATAAATCAAAATTCTTATAACGATAAATGACACAATAAAGTTGTTGAGATCTTACCCAGTGGTTGATAAAGTTTCTGAAGAGCACTGCGGGGGCAAAAGATCTGGCAGGGTTCATTCCAGCACCGGTGTAGTACATCTAAAACACAATTCATGCATTGTTAAAGATTGTCTGTGTGCACAATTTTGCGATGCTTTTACCCTTTTCCTGCAACTCTCACCCCCATGAGATGCCCAATGGTGACAGAGAAGCCGATGGAGAGCGCTGCTGATCCCATACGGCCATTTCTCCTCTCATCGGTCACAGCAAAGACGCAGACAACAAGCTGGAAGGTGAGAAACACCTCCACTGTGGTGGCCATCCCCAGGCTCATGCCAGGCTGCAGCTGGAGGCACAAAAATTAGAGATGCAGCAAATGTTCGACCCATAGGATATTGAACATTAAGCCTTGACATTTACCATGTTCATTGCCATGTTGCCTCTCATGTTCCCAGGCGTGACCCCGTACAGCACTGCAGCTCCCGCCACGGCGCCCAGGCACTGCGCGAAGATGTAAAAAAAGGCACGGAAAAACGACATCTGTGAACCGACAAGGTAGGCAAAGGTAACCGCGGGGTTGATGTGGCCACCGCTGATGTGGCCAATGGACTGGATGAAGGTGGCGGCCGCCAGACCGAAGCACAGGGCCACATGAAGGACGTGATAAGGCCCGGTGGTCCAGCGTAAGGCAGCACCCATGCCGAAAAATACAAAGAACATGGTCCCGAAGAACTCAGCGAAGACCGCCCGCCAAAATTTCATAGACCGAAACTCCCACATGATGAGTGCTTGAAGTTCTTAGCCAAGAGAAGAGGAGTGTTGATGATTCAAGAAAAGGTAATTTACCTTTTCAGTCCTTCATAAAACAGCTAAAACAACAAAAAAAATCTCCTTTTTTAGTGTCAGCTGAAAAACAGCTGCTTTAAACGCAAATCTGGACTCTGCTGGTCTTTACCAAACTGTTCACTATGCTGGTAAAGTCAACTCAGCTGCTTGCCACCTCTCTCCACCTGTCGCAAAGACATAGGTGTGAGATGATGTGGGATGTGAGTACAGACCAAAGATGCTTAGATTCTTCAAAAGTAGGTGGGCATCAATGCTAACTGGGGGATTGTAAAGCACAGACGGGGATAGACGGATTGTCCAGTGGACCTTTTAGTCTCTGTGAGGGAGGGAAGGGGGCCAGACGGCCGCTTTATAAAACCCCCTCCGGGGGCCCCAGGTGACGTAATAATCCCCCTATTGGCCTGAGGATGGGGAGGTGGTGAGGTACTGCAGCGCTAAACATCATAAATCAAACTAACTTAACCCCTTTTGTTGCTTCTTTTCTTACACCTCCACTAAAACCACAAAAGAGCCAAATCAGATGAAGTATATGTTATAAAATCCAATCTAGTCAGAAAACGGATAGGATCAAGAAGGGTTATTTTTGTATATTCAGATCAAAAGCGGAGCCGAACCTCCACTGGGAGGAGCAGCTGAAACTCAGAGAAGATTTTCTTGAGGGCACATGTCATCTGTTGACATATCATAACTGTCACAACGTGCAGATATAAATCCTGATGGACAAGGGCAGAAAGCACACACTTGTGCACAAAGAGACATGCATATTTGTGTGCACACGCGCACACACACATGCACACGCACACACGTACACATGCATGCAGATAATACAGTTGGGGCCCCACACTGAAGCCCCCAAAGCTAACAGCGCTAACACTGAAATGCCTGACCCTGTGAAACCATTGTTTGCAACAAGCAAGGGCGCTACATATGCTCAAAGACAAGACTAAAATACAAATGCAGTGAAGTTCAGGGGAAGGTTTGCAGCTTCACTTTGCCGTTGTTTTAAAGACATTTAAACCATCGCTGAGGTTTAAAAATGGCGACGAAATCTAAAACCTGTACTTGACTATCTGGGTTTTGATTGATTCTGCTACAGCATGAGACAGTTAGATGGAAAATGAACAATAGAAGCAAAAATAACTACACACACACACCTAAAGATGAAATGTGATGAGTGAAGCGATTGAAACCCTTTTAAAATCAAACAATATTTAATAAAGAAAAGTGATTTGTGCAAAAAGTAAACAAAGAATGCTAACAGAGCTGCAAAACAGGAAGTCAACCAGAATCCCACCAGTAAATAACAAAGCATTTCTGTTTTCTGTGCTTGGCAGAAGACTTTGACTGATCACAGTGGTGTGTGTGTGTGTGTGTGTGTGTGTGTGTGTGTGTGTGTGTGTGTGTGTGTGTGTGTGTGTGTTGTAGAGACATGATGAGGGGGATAAGCGGCACCGAGTAACATCGGTGCTCACCAGAGCTGAGCAGCAGAGAGCCGCCGCTGTTAGTGTGTGTGTGTGTGTCGGCGGTGATGAATGCAGAACGCTGATCTTGTTGTTTTAACTGCCTTTTATACATGTCAGGAAGAACACACACAATGCTGGTCCTGTGGTGGATATTGTGCATTTTGTGCGCCTGTGTGTGAACTCCTGTATGTAGTGTGTTGTAAAACTGCAAGCCTTTCTGAGTGTGTGTGCGTATGTGCAACCAGAATATACACAGTAAGAGCAACGCTCATTTATGGCAAGAGTTTTATTTAAAGATTTTACAATAATCGTCAATATTAACTTGTTTTAAAGGGTCGGTCTTATACAATGTCTTGCAGACATACCACAAACTTTTATTCATGTAACAAACCAGCACAAAAAATTTGTGAAGCACAAGGAAAAGGACGCATGTTTTTCAAATAGTTTCCTAAATAAATCAAGTTCAGTTCAGATTATTTACATTTGGATCATTCATTTAAAAAAATGGAGCGGAGTTCAGTTTGGTGAAAGGTTTTCTATCGAATCAGCAATCCCTCCTCATTGAGTTGCATCACCTCGTTAACTCTGCAGCAGTTCCTTATAGGAGCATCTTAAAATAGATTAAAAAAAAAATTAGTTCCTACTTGCAGACTTTTTCACATTTGAACCAAGTTATTAGTAAAAAAAAAAGACCAATGGAACTGGAACTTTTTGTCAATTTTAAGGAATTACTGACTAAAAATTTACTTCTAAGTTAGTTTTGTCCTACTTCATTTGTACCTAAATATTTGCATTAGAAACTCGTAAGATGCTGCGTTGTTTTTCAGTGTAATTTCAGCAACTGTGACTATTAGCTCTATCAGAAAGTAAAAAAGTAAAAACAGACAATGTGTCTGGGAGAGTAAATCTGAGAGCAAGGTGTTCTGTTATTATAGAAAAATCTGATCTCTAATATTCACCGCTGCACCGATTATTAAGAGTTTTTATTTGAAGAAGATTTTCACAAGAAACTAGATATAAAGGAGGCCAGTAAAGAGAATATTAAAGGCTTCCTCAGATTCACCAGAAATAAACTAAATAAATTAACACTAAACTATAACAAAACAAACTTTCTTATGCAACACAAATAACAACAAAGTCCAGTCTTGTGATGATCGACATTACAAAAGTGAATGAAATCTGATTTTTGTAGTTATAATTGATCATAAACGGTACCAGTAAAAGCCTCATATAAGGAATTTAAAAGAGCAAAACGTCCCAAACTGTTGCATCATTTTATCAAACCAGAGTTGTGACGTGTGGAAACATGTTGACGTGTTTGAGCTGTTATACAAAGGTGAATAAATAAACATTTCTCTCTCTAGATATGCAGATTTGGTGGAAATATACATCTTAAAGTCTTGTAGCTGTTACTGCAATAAAAGCTGGTTCTGAAACAATCTTGAAACCGCGCATCATTTTCTCTCCTCTTTACAATTATGCATTGCTTTGTATTATATAACGACTCAATAAAATACAGATTTTTGTGTTTGTCATATGAAAAAAATCTAGAAATAAAACCAGCTAATATTTAACAGAAATCTAAATTAGATAAATATCAGTTCATACCGAGAAACAACAATTCTTAAAGGTTTTACGAAAAAACAAAACATTTCCTCAGAAACTGTGCTCATACTCCCATTGTTTCCATTTTAAATTACAAAGCTTATTCTGTTCTCCCTGTTGGACCACAACAGAGGTATGAAGGTCCATTTTCCTGTGAATAGCAGGTCGTATGAGAAGAGACAGAGCTGGACTGTTTGAGAGCATCACTGAACCCCCAGCACCGGCGAAGAGCCGCTTTAGCATTTCAAAGCGATCACAAACACAAGATGCATCTGGAACATCAGGCCGTTATTCAGCAGGATTTCAATTAGTCCCTTTTTTATTTACATATTCTGATTATGTGACAGAGAATACTGAACCTAGCGACATTAGCTTCCAGCCCCATATATGGCAATAAAGGCAGTACTTATCCTGTCATATATATATATATATATGGTTTTAACTTTTTTTTTAATTGTGAAAATGAAAAAAATATGATGATTTATTTTTTGTAGCCTAGGAAGTTTTACAACTGAGTAAAAATGAGTCTCATGAAGAGGATGCTCAGGGTTTTTTAAGTTTATGTAAAATCCCTTTTTCCACCATCATTTCTCTTGAAGATTTTGAAATAAAATGAAGAAAATTACAAAAGGTTTGTTGGTTAACCAAAACAAGACGGTAATGGACAAACTCAAGGATTATTCAATAGATATTCAATAGAAAGAGTGTCTGATAAAATATCCAATAACTTCACCAAACTCTGATTCAGAACCGCACAGCATTCTGGGGGATGTAGGCAGAGGAAAACCTTTAGCCGCTCAACCTCTCACTGCTAGATAAACAAGACTGATGGCATCAACTAGCTCACTCGCTCTTTGGTTACTAAGTAACAACCTGTTAAGTAACTTGTGGTTACCAAGCAACAACCTGTTGAGTAACTTGTGGTTTCCTAGCAACAATCTGTTGAGTAACTGCCGCAGCAGCAGTTTAAGGTTTCACCACTTTGCCTCTTAACTGCTTAAAAAAAAAACAAAAAAACAATGGCATGGAGTGAAAACTGTAGGAAAAACAGGAAACGTCACACCACCAGTTTGGCAGGATTTGAGATATTTAGAACAACAAAAAAAAAAACCTAATCAATAATTATCAATATTGACTGATATGAAACTCTTAGATTGATTCTTCTGTTTTAAGCGAGTTATCATAATCAGATTTGTTTTTATTTATTGCACAACAATCTTCAGATCATCAGTCTGATTTGTGATTTTTTGGCACGGGACGTTTAAGGAGTTTAACCGTTGGTAACTCAGCTCCTGCCTTCGCTCATCACCATCGAAGCCTGACTAAACCACCGTCCGTCTTCAGTTGCTTTCCTGTTTGTTGGCATGTTTGGCTCTCATGGCGTTCTGAGTGACTGTGGACAGAGACGAGCCGGTCATGCTGGCCGTCTCAACGATCTCAATGTCCTTGCAGGTCAAACAGGCCACCAGCTTCTGGCGAGAGGCGCTGCGGGCGAAGAAGAACTCATGGGACACTCCTGCCAGTAGAGCACCGATGATGGGACCGATCCAGTACACCTGTAGGTGGATGACAGAGTAGCATAGCGAACCGGGTAGCTAAGGTTGATTTTCTTTGTAAACGGAACAAAATTCACAAATTCATATAATTGTACGATCATTGTCTGGACTATGCATATTAGATTGCAATAAACCTTTGCTAATTATTTAATGACTCTCACTGCCTGTAGTACATTACATGCAACCTGTTTAATGCAGCATAAAAGGTTAAAGTAAAGAATAAAAATGTAGTTACTTATTGTAAATCATTTTTAAAAAGTTAATATGAAGCATCTCCACGCTACAGAGTGAAAAGTGTTTCTTACCCAGTGATTTTCCCAGAATCCAGTGATGATGGCTGGACCCAAGGAGCGTGCAGGGTTCATGCTGGCACCAGAGAAACGAGCCTGACACATAGTTATTGTTGTTAATTGGTGGCGTGACGTGTTTATTTAATGGCTAACTTTTCTCAGTTAAAGCAAAAACGAATTGTAATATGATATGTGTATGTGATTTTACAAATGACAATCTGAAAGTGGTTTGTGATACACCTGAGAAAAAAGCCATTTGCAGTTTTTGAAAAGTGGTTCTGAATACAAAAAGCACTCCACACTTTTCAGATTGTTTAATAAAATATTCTGAAATTTATGCATTCTTTCCTTTCGGTTTTAATGCATTAGTTTTTGTTGGTCTATCTATTAAAATTCAACATTTTTATGTAAACAAATACACCAGGAGTCTTGTTTTTTGTTTTGTTTTTTACCCCTATTAGCACTCCAGCAGTGTGAGAAAACCCAATGGCCAGATTTCCTGGCTCCACGCTCTCCTTCCGTCTCTGCTCCTCCACTGAGAAGACGGTGAAAACCATCTGAAAGGTGCACAGAACCTCGATGCACAGAGCCTGCGCTGCATTCAAATCTGCAGGAACCTGAGATTTAAGAGGAGTCGAGACAGAGGAAGCATTAAGAAGGAAAGTATGAGAAATATTTAGCAGAAACTGAGTTGTATCCTGCAAACTGACCCTGTTAACAAAGTGCTCTGCTGTGGCTTTGAGGGGCAGGGCCAGGTAGAGGGCCGAGGTCCCTAAACAGGCCCCCAAACACTGAGCCACCAGGTAAACGAGCGCCCGCAGAGCGTCCAGCTTCCGGGTGGCCAGCAAGGACAGCGTGACAGCCGGGTTCACCTGGTCAGACACACAGACACAAACTGCTTCTCTGCTTTCTAATGAAATCAAATTCAGCATTTTTGAATTTCACCTCACTGTCAGCATTCACTACAAGATTTCACAAAGTGTTTTTTATATTTTAGGATTCTATAAGATGCATGTGTGTATATTTTATTATAACTATATTTTCTGCTTTCTTTTGTAAACAATTTCTATCCTGATATTGATTATTGTTACCTACCTAAAATGACGATCAAACCTTGTTTTTTGCTAAAAGTGATTTTAACAACAACAAAAACACCACTTTTTTTTCCCCATTTGATGATTTTGTCATTTGAAACTGCAATTATTTGCTAACTGGTTTACTTTACAGAAAATCTCCTTTTTTTTTTCTTTTTTTTTTACCAACTTTTAATTTAATCGACAATTTCATCACATTTATTCAACATCCTTTTGGCTGTTTTGTGGAAAAAGTAAAACTCTGTTCTCTAAATGTTGCTGTACGGTGTTTACCTGCGCTCCACTTATTTCTCCAAAGCAGTGTGCCAGTGCAACAATGACCACACCCACTGCCACAGCTGGATACAGGGGCCCCCCGGGGGCCTCGCCGGGCCCTGGAACAGAGGCGCCCAGCACGGCGCTCACTAACACCAGGGTGCCAAGCAGCTCTGCCAAGGCGGCGCTCCAGAACTGCCGACTGCGGAGCTCCTCGGCGCAAAAAGGGCAAAGTTAGCTCGTATTTAGTCCTTCTATTCGATTTTTATGACTACAATGAATCAAAACACAAAACTAAAATGTTGTTGAAAGTCAGAGGTTTGTAAATATGTGTTTGCTAAAATATTAAGGGGACTTTGAAATGCAAAATTCAAGTATTTGCAAACAGGTTAAAACGTCTTTCTGCTAAACATATCCTGATTTAGGTCTCGTTTATGACACAAGAATAAAATAATGACAAACATCTCCTAAAAAGTAGGTTAACTAGGAGTGGGGCAATTATCAATTATAAAATGATAAACAGAGGATCATGCTGTGATCTACAGTTTTACAACAAGATTTGATAAATCCAAAGTAAGCAAAGTGTGGCCTGAGTTGTTTGGGTCATTTGCTGGGCACATTTGGTTTGGTTCCCCGTAGAGAAACTGAGGAAAAATAGAAATTTGTGTTTTAGCTGATAGTTATGTTTTAGAGAATGTCCATCATCGTGACAAAATAAGAACAGGATTGTTTTGTTTTTGCTCATATCATATACTACATGTCTGCTGAACAGATGATCTGTGATATTATCAAAATAATACGGTTCTGAGTTTTCAGGATGCAGGACTTTCAAACCAAATGCAACGGAGAAACATTTTGCTCGTACTGCTGTTGGTACTCTAGGTTCTTAAAAACAAAGATTTGACTTTAAGGGAAAAACTAAGTGCCAAATTTTGGAATAATTTGAAAGTCTTTGTTTAAAAGCAAACATGAATATATCAAAAAAACCTGAGATAAATTTGATCAAATCACGGGCCTGTGATCGGGATCTTCAACATAAACTCATAAATTACAAATTCCTTCTAACTAATAAACTAAATCATCATAAACAGCCACTTTCATTGCAAATACACTCATGCAAGGGCTACTTTGTGATGACGTCTCCTTCCAGGATTACAAAGAAAATGTATAACTTTCCTGTTGCTCACCTCCCGCCACGTCATTTCAGATCCAGCGTAGACGTTTCCCTCCGGCTCCTTGTTTATCTCTGTTTCTGTGTGTGGAGCTGTGGGGGTCTGAGGGCTTTGGGGTCTCATTAACTTGAGAGCTCTTTTGATGAGAACAAGCCTCCTCCCTCTCCGCCTCACGCTCTCCTTCTCGGCTGCACTCCAGGCCCTGCTCACACACACACACACACACACACACACACACACAGAGCAAAGACGTCCCTTTGAGGGTGCATGTCTAACATCCTCTCCTCCAAAATCCAGCAAACAAATTAATCAACCTTATGCCTCTACAGAAATCTGCAGGGCTTCTAACATATATGCAAAATGTCTCAATAAATTAAATCAACTTCAAAATGTGCTGCGTATGAAGGTGATGAATATTAATTCTCAGTTGATACAATTTGTCAGCACTAAATATTTTCCCAAATTACATAAAGACAAATACACACAATGCCAGATTAAAACTTAAAAGCGACACATTTTGCCAAAAATCCACAAAACTAGGTAAAAGTTTCCGACATAGTTTGGATTTCACAATTTAAACATAATTTAGACTTAATTTTTCTCTATATGTTTCCATTTATCTTTTAAAAGATTGTTTCCTTATATTTGAGCATTTTAATAAAATACCAATAATAGTCACCTATCATAAATTACAATAAATACCAACCCAGACAGCAGAAAATAACCCTTTTGAACATTAATTACATTATTTGCATTATAACATTACAAAATTTATATTACAATCTGTTTCATTTGCATTTTCAACATTTACAAAAGCTGTAAATCACACCTGTGATTTTTTTCATACATGTCACAGAACAATACTTTGGTCACTTTTTAAAAAATGTCCTAACTTTTCCTCAGCTAAAAAAAATATCTAAATATATCTTATAGATATATTTTGTTCAATAAGTGAATCTATATTGTTTTGTTGTTGTTTAGGTGCAACTAAATCATGTTCAGAGATTAGACGTTGACATAAAAAATAGTTTAAAAAATAACTGAATGTTTAATTATTCATCCATTTTTTCCAATAGCATCTAACTTCCCTCTGATCACACCAGCAGCACACAAAATCAAATGATTGCTGCTTTTTAAATATAAATTACACTTACAAGTCTATAAAATTGACAAGGAACTGTTCCAATCTTGAGAACAGAGCTCTACCTAAACCAACCATTAAAGTATGTGTGTCTTGTTATAAGGCTATTTGGCTTATAAGTTTGCTTCTTTTTTATATATATTTCCTTCGGGAAGATTTCAGACGTACACCATATAGCAAAAAGTGTTTTTTTGGTCAAATTGTTTGGTGTGAACTGGTCGCCTAGAAACTGCCGCTCAGCATGACTTTCAAACCAGTAACAGCAGAAGGAGCCAATTAGTGAGCAGAAGTGAGGCGAACAACAAGAACAAACCTCGTGCTTTGATTTCAAACCATCTGTTTCTCTAATATGCAGCATTTCTGTGCCAGACACGATCAATCCCGAAAACCTTTTTTAATCGTTTCAAAAGGCCCGTTTTCGCCTCTCTACATGCTGCTTGTGAGGTATCCCTCTGATCGCCATGGGGACCGTCTCTTTCATGATGCTGTTGCCATGGAGGCTTGTGGACCGCTGCATCTCTTTTCATTGTCCCTCTTTGATATCAACGCGTACTGCACTTCGGCGCTTCGATCAGATGATGCTGCAGGAACCGCTCTGGGTCCGACCCGAGCGAAGGGGCAGCAATGACCGGTACGTGATGGTGGTGGATTTCTGCTGGTGTGCCCCATTATGTCATGGATTACCCCCTCCTCACTGTGGCAACTGTGTGACTGTTATCCCCCCCTTTGTGGCGGTAAGCCCCAAATGTGCCGCTCTGGAACCCGCTGGCGTGAGGAGTTTTCAGGCCGCCTCACTCACCCAGAGTGCTGACACTGACGCTATTTTCACACATACACTCGAAGTGCAAACTCAGGGCTTTGCGCTACAGAGCAACGGGGAATTAATAGAAGCACTGGATATATGGTACAGACTCTGGAAATGAATGTAAGGTAAAAGGGAAAAAGAAAAATCATGTTGTTTCTCCTGATTTTGATTGTAGATTCATTAGTGAGTTTGAATCTGGAGCCTCCATCAGAGTTGAGCAGCTGGAAGTGACGGCAGGATGTTTCCAGCAGCATGTGCTCCAGGCAGGACTTTTTATTTTATGAAATAAATAAATAAATAAAAGAAAGAAAGAAAGAAGAAGAAAAAAATAATAGCAGATGCTCCCAATATTTCTATGGGACACAAATAATTTTAACATTTTCCACAGTCAAGTTCAAAGTTTATAAAACATGGAAGGACAAAACATATTAATGAACGCTAACATGTAAATACATGAGATTATAGCCAGGTGGCTAATTTCCAGCTAGTCTGATAAATAGCTCTGATGTGACATATTTTCGGAAACTTTCGTAGCTGACAGCCATCTTGGTAAGTATCAACTGTCATGACAGTTGCTATGGAATTGCTATGACAACAATAAAGAACTAGCTCCCGCCTGGTTCATATCTAACAATACAAGTACAGAGCAATTATCAAGTCTCAAACTTTTTGAAAGCCATAGTTCATCAACTCTTTGTGCTACTCTTGCCTAACAAGATGGCGGCTCTGTGGCGCGGATCACTTCCGGTTCAGATTTGTGGGAACTGTGGCGCGTTGATGTTGAAGCGCATAATAAATGCAGGGATAAAAATCACAAAACAAAACTATGGAATAAGAAATACTTTAATTATAAAATCGATATCTTTGCACATAATCAATGTTGACATTTTAGCTGGTTTTACAAATGTTTTGCAAGTAAATTGAAAATTAGATCAATTAAATTCTTCTCACAAGATTTCACTTTTTTAAAAAAATTGTGAATCCAAGATAACCCCTAAAAATCTGAACTGTTCCATTTCTAGGTTTTTTTGGACAAAAATAAGTAGAATCACTGCAAGTATTTTCCTTTTTTTTTTCCTTTTTGAGAAATATGAAGTGTGTGAAGATTTGAAATCAAAGTTAAATTTCTTGTTTGGACACAATCTTGGCTGAAAAACAGCTAAAACATGCATTCTTATTTTATCTTTATTTACAGATGGTTTCTGGTACCTGATTAGAATTAGAGTGAAAAAAGAACCAAAGAAACAGCAGCAGAACAACTCCTCTCTACAAGATGTGTTTTTATTCAACTCACAGTACATTCTACAGATGCACACGTGTTACATCACCTTAATACAACAGAGTCCTGTAATACCTCCTCTTAAAAATGATGAATTGGTCCTAAAAATATAAAGAATCAAATTTAAAGTCACCAAAACTGTACATTATTAAAAATTCACTTAACACCACATTTGGTTGTCATGTCTTTTTTTTTTTTTTTTAATACATTTTCTGAAAAAAGAAAAAAAAATAATAAAGTTCAGTGTAAGGAGCAAGTTTAAATAAACCCAGACTGTGGAGTCATCCCGTCACCTTCGTGGCAAACCAACCGTGCAGCGTCATACGTTGGCCCCCAAAAAAGATAAACAATAATAAACCAATGAAAAGGAATGTAAGACAGAGGAAGAAGGCAGAAATGCGCCCAGTACATCAAAAATCAGCTCTTGAGATATTCTAGACTTTAAAATCAAACTTCAATCTGCTTTAAATATTTTTATTTTTTTAATCCAATGTAATGAGCTAAAAACAAAATGTGAGCTTTAATTTAAACCCCGCTCCAGAGCGGGCCTTGCAGCTGCGGACTTGATGTGTAAAACATGCACAGACGCTCCTAAAACCTGCAACCGACGACAGCAAAAGCTCCCTCCTAGTGTCCAATCAGCACAGCCTATTTACAGGTGCGAGAACGCTTCTTGGCCGCAGAACGTTTTGCTCTTCACAGCGACGTCTACGAGTCTACAACGGACCGAATCTAAAAGCCCTCCAGCTTCTGAGTGTTTCCCACAAGAGCAGCAGGGGAGGTTGTGGGTAAAATTACGTATACAACTGGTGTCGTGTGTGTGTGCGTGTGTGTGACTTTAAGTGGAGGTTATACAACATCTACTGGTGACAGTCCAACAACAGATTCCTTTAAGTTTCACTGGCCTTTTTTTTTTTTTTTCATAAAATGTCTAAACATCTCTATTGGGTCGTCTGTACACATTCACTACGAGCTATTGCTATTAAATAATCCCAGCTATTGTAATCTTTATATATATAATATATAATAAAAATATAGTGAGCCATTGAAAAAGTTACTCCTAGGCATAAGACCACGTTACATTACATTTCCAAACAACAGGTAAGAAATGCTCAGAAGAGTCTGGATGCGTTCAGTCGTCGGGCGGCGCCGAGCAGGTCCGGGATGCGGTGACAAGGTCACACTCTGACCTTCAGTGCGAGTGTGGAGCCGGCCGAGCGGCCTGATGGGACGCGACGGGAGGAACACGGGACGAGGGGCCGGGGTGGAGAGACGGGGGGGAACGGTGGTAGAAAAAGATTCGACCTGTCCAGGAAACGATAACAGACAAAGAGCCAAAACCTATACATATATACCTATACATGAGATAATACAGGAGGCCGGAGCAGGACTCCAGCCGGTCTCTGCAGCACTGGAAAGTGCAGCAACAGTCCACAGCGCCACCCTGAGGCCGAACCTGGCAGGCTCCTATTTGTCCTTGTTGGAGTAGAACTCCGCCCAGCGGCTCTCGAAGAAGCGCCTCATGGAGTGACCCGCCATGCCCACCTCCGACGTGTCCTCGTTGAACAGCTCGCAGTTGTTGAAGACCAGCTGAGCGTCGGCCGCAAACTCATCGCAGCTGCAGTAACTGGAGAGGAAAAGAAGAGAGGAGGGTGAGGCGTGAACCAGGAAGAGTTACAAGCAAATCCTTCATGTCTGAAGATTAATATCGTTTTGGAAGAGCTACATACTCTGTGGCACATTTCAGTTAGGATATTTCATCTAGGGATGAAACAATCAGTTTCAGTGATGAAACGATTAGTGAAATAATCGCCAGCTAACTTAAGTTTATCGATTAATTGTTAACTGGAGCATACAGACTCAAAAAAAGGCAATTGGCTGAAAAATCAACACAATCAAAGCAGAAATCAAGTCAAAACAGTAGAAAAAAATATGAACATTTTGCATTTCAGACCAAAAAACTCCATGTTGCACAGTTTTGGCTTCACCTGGTTCAATTTTTCAATACTATTATTTCAGTTAGCTGCACCAGTATATTTTCGTTTTCCCTCAACAAACAAACAAAAAAAAATAAAAAAATTAATTAAAATAAATAAATAAATAAATAAAAAAAATCGCTGATTCCTTCAGGGTTGAGGATGTTAAACACCACAAAAACAGACATTATGTCAAATATATTTATATTTATATGCAAGGAATATCCATCGATGGATGTTTCAGCAGCTTCCCCTTTTTTATTGAAATATTTTACCACTTCCTGTTAGCTGTGTAGAGAGAGGAGGCAGTGATGAAGAATGTGTAATCTCAAACATTATTATTGGTGCCAATAATTTTTGAAAAAATATTCACATACATAACTTTATACAAGTAGTAGATTATCCACCTGAATTAACAGATTAATTTGTTAAAGTCAAATGGAGTATTATGGGAA